ATTTGAAATGCATTAAACTTAACTTCTTTGATGTGATTCACAATAATCTCATCTCCTTAGAGTAATAGAATGGCGATATCTTTTCCTCCATGATGAATAAATACGAAGTGGTCCACTAGCGTATGCTGAAATTTGTACATATATTACTTTACAAATGTTATCAAACCAAACTTGTTACGATTGCTTCAACCCATATATCCGGCTACTCCATATATACTTCTATCAAACCCCAACGTAAACATGCATTATTAAAATCTATCTGGAATGTCTCCCATCATGGGCTAGCGCAAGGGATCAAATAACTCTAATCGTGCCCATTTTCACCTAAGGAGTAAATGTTTCATCATAGCCTAACCTGTATTCTTGATTATTCCCCTTTACAACTAGCCTTGCTTTGAATGGCTCACATAAACCATCTGCCCCACACTTTATTTTATATAACTATTTGACCCAAAAATATTTTTCCCTTCGGGCTATCACCCATGTTCTATAGATAGCCCATGTTCTATATCTACACACTGCTTGAATCTATTAATTCAATGTCTCACTGCTGCTTCATATGAAACTCTTTTAGGTTGTGTCAGAAAACTTGATGTTCACTAGAAATGGTCATATCGTCTAACCCTATACGCCTTTCTATTGGATGTTGAGTGCAGCCTGATCTCTGGAGTTGATTTTGATCCCCAACATATGACATTCTTGATTTGACCGTTGTTGGATACTAAGGGATATGTCGGGCTCTCTTCCATTAGCTTCTACTTCTTGGCACCCAATTTCTGTACTTGAATTGTCCTTCATGGTGCTTTTTTTTTTCATCTTTGATTAGCTCTTTGTCATGCTTTTCATATCTTTCGCTTTCCTCAGATGACCAACTTCCAATACTTGTTGGTTCATCATGTAATATGCTCAAATCAAATTCGTTAGCAATAGTGGATGATTGAGGAATCAATCTAGGGTTTTTAGGCAGCAATCTAAAGTCTTCTTCCTCAATTTTTGGATGTTCTGGGGGGGAATACTATTGAGGTGTTTTGTTTTTTTGGAAGCTTTAGATTCAACAGTTCATTTGCCAAGTTGACAGCTTGAACATAAAAATTGACTCCTTCCATTATTTGATGTACATGAAATCAAACTGACTTGTTTTAGACTCTAAAGAGGACCCATTGGTACCATATGAACTCATCGGGATTGGTTAGAAAGAACATTGAGGATGACTGAACTGGAAAGACAAGAAATTCCTTTTCTTGACTGCGATGATTCCTTATAGGATTTCTCGATGAAGAAGGTTCCTTAATAATGTATAGGTTGCCCTATTCGTGCTACCCCAGCAAGTGTTGTCCTTATAGATCCTTCAAGAACACAAAGGAGCAAACAACGAGTAATATTTCAATTCATCAAGTAATTGGGACATAGAAATAAACTTTCATTTAATTTTTGCAACTAAAAAGGCTTAGGCAAAGAATGATCAAGCTCTAATCCCAACTTTCTCCCTAGAGCATGATCAAGCTCTAATCCCAACTCCATAGTCGATCCTATATGTAAGTAGCAAATTTTGAGGCAAGAGCAACGACTTGAGGAATGCCCATGTAATCTCGACATTAAGGTCAGTCTTCTAGAGATTCATCAGGAGTTAGAAAAACAAATTAGAATAACGTTCGATATCCCAAAGTTTCATTACAAGTTGCCCATAAAGTGTTTGATTAATTGGTTCATTGAAGAAAGAAAAAACAAGATGGCAAATGGTGGAACTACATCAACAATTCTTCAATTGGCCTTTGAAGGAAGTGATGAATACAATAATCTCGAGGTTAAGCTTCTCCCAACCATGGGAGAATGCAGTAATGGGCTTTTCAATTTTTAGGTTTACTCTTTTCTAGATTTTAGGTTTGGGATTATTTTGCATGTCTAGTGTTCTTTAGGGGCAATTGTCTCTTTTTTTAGTTATAAAGAATTGAGGGACAAAATTGGAACTTTTTTTTTTTCGAAGATAAAAAGTTGGGATTCAGTTAGGGTTTCTTAGGGAACAAATTGGGTTTTAGGGTTGCTACCTTTTATAAATATGTACCTCTTGGATCAGAAAAATTGGAGTGAAGAGAATGTGAGTTTATTTCGGATCTTGTGAAAAGATCTTTTTAGGATGCACTCCCTTACAGCATATCTTTGAGTGGTATAATCACTCATCCTTTATTTTTATCTGCTACTTTTCTAGTTTATTTATTTTATTTTCCATCAATTTAGGGTGCAAAAATTGATGGGAAATAAAATAAATAAACCAGAAAAATAGCAGATAAAAATAAAGGATGAGAAATCATACCACTCTCATTATTAGCAAGATAGTGCACCCTAAATTGAGGGAAAATGAAATAAATAAACCAGAAAAATAACATATAAAAATAAAAGATGAGAGATTATACCACTCATGATCTACAAGGGACTGCACCCTAAAAATATCTCTTCACAAGATCCAAAATAAACTCATATTTTTTCACTCTATTTTTTCTAATTCAAGAGGTACATATTTATAAAAGAAATCAACCCTACAACCTAACTTGTTCCCAAACCCTAATTGAATCCCAACCCTTCAGCTTCGAAAAAAATAAAGTTCCAATTTTGCACCTCAATTATCGATAACTAAAAAAGAGACAAATACCTCTAAAGAACACTAGAAACGCAAAATAATCCCAAACCTAAAATCTAGAAAATAGTATGAAAAAAGAAACCCATTACATTATCTCAAGTTGTAAGTGTTCATTTAGCCAGGCAATTATGGGATATTTTTCATGAGCTTTACTTTCAATCATCAAAGACAAGCCTAATGCATATTAGCCATCAATGAAAGTTTTCCATTTGTGAGCACTTCAACAAGGTAAAATAGCTTTTTGATAACTAGCAGCTATTGGCTATAATGATAAAGTCCTCTACGTACTTGACGTATTAGGTGAAGAGGATGACATGCTTGTCACATCGGTCACGTGTAGACCTCCTGCACATTGGTTTCTATAAGCTTCACTGCAACGTGAAGTCTAAAAGAAGAGAATCATGACGCCTTGCATGTCAATTCTTGTAATAACACTTCTACTAAAGGCCGTGGAAGAGGAAGAAACCACATATGTGGTTGATTCTATCCCACTTAACCGGTACTATGAACGAAGGATATGTTGTCACAACAATCAGCCACAAGGCCATTGCCTGGGGATAGGGATCTCAATCCCCACCTCATAGATCAAAATGGTTTTCTTTATTTATAGCCAGTTCGTAATGTAACTATGCTTTTACTATAGTTCTATTACTTGTTGGTATAAATAAAGAAATCCCTACTTTAAAGAGTACATAGAGTTCTAGACTCTATGTACTCTTTAAAGTTGGGAACAAGATCCCCAAAAGGTCAAGGATCAAGATCCACAATTGGTTGGGATCGAGCCAATAAGCAGTTTGGGATCACAATCCCCAGCATATGCATTTTAAAGATGGTGCTCCCAGCCATTAGGATTTTCTAGCCTTTCATGACTCCCCCGCAACCAATCCTGATCCCACTCCCACTCCCAATCCCTTTTTGGAGCACGAGTGGGACCTTACATGGAAGAGCCCAGTAGCTATGCCTAAGAATTTTAGTGTAATGCGGTCTTATTAAACAAACTAGCCTCAGATGAGCCCACTTGATGCCCAAGGGCTCCAGCTTTCCAAAGGTCAATACCCTCTAAGTCGGATGAATAAATTGTTTTCTGTAATTTTCAGTATCTCAATTAGATATTTTCAAAGACTAATGACATCAGGGTTTAGGGTTTGAACATCAGGAGGAAATGAATAAACAAGATAAAGTAGCTGGCCAGCCATAGTGCTTGTACGTGTACATTGCCAACGTTACATTTAAATGAAGGAAAAGGGTTAAAACATGATGTAAGCTGCAAATAAACATGTATAGATACAGTGATAGATCTTTTTGGAAGTGATTAAGTGATAAATCAGCCGTGAGAGAAACCCCACAAAATAAGGAGGCTCTGCCAGAAATTCAACTAGGAGGTCAGCCTGGAATCTCACAGTTTTATGAGGTCAGCCGATCAAGACTAATTATGATCCTCGATATGGACAATCTTCTAGTTCGAGTAAAAAGTTTTATAATCAGGAAGTTAATTGAAAACAAAAGTCAAATAAACGAAACCAAAAGAAAACTCCTCCGTTGCAAATAAACGAAAGCATTTGTTAGTTTAAAAAAAACAAAGGAAGAACTTGTACATTTTAAAACCTTCACTAGATTGGACCAGTAAAGTTTCATTGGGGAGAACATTTTATGCCTATAGATACCTAAGAAGAAAAAAAGAAAGTGCACCCTGATTATGTTTCCAGAATTGTTAAGTTTGGCTGAAAAGAGCTACAGCAGAGTCTCAGACCATGTTTGTCTAGAAGACGAAGTCCAAATATTCCTGTAATAACTGATATGTTAAAGCTTTTGCAATCACCAACTGAAGCAAAGGTGACATTACTGTGAGGTACAATCACACCCTTTAATCTGAAAAGGTTGGATCCGTGACCTTGTGGGCAAAACAGCCCCAAAGGGCTAAAAGCCAAAATTGATCGGGAGTAAAGAGTCCTTGAGTCCCACAGCTGTTTTTGATATTTCTTTGGATTCAGCTAAATTTACTTGTGTCACAAGAGAAGAACGCAGAGTTTATTATTCATCTGCATACTTCTTTGCTATTTCCCCGCAACCTCTGTAATTCTAACTTCAACTCAGAAACCTTTCCAATTATTTTTAATCCGCCTTTCATTATAGAGAGACAGAATGCAATAATACTCAGACGTGTATTCTTTTATGTAAAGCATGAAGCAATTCCTTTCTAGCATTAGTTACTAATGGACGAATGTTTGGCAAGAACCACATAATTGAGGACCCTGGGGCAAGATCAGTTCTCAACATTGTTACAAGAAATATGTAGTACGATCAAATGCAAAACAGTAAAACATGTATCTTTTTTCGCCAGCAGCTATTCCCTAATAAATAATACCTTGATAGCGTCATCAAATGCACACTTGGCTTTAGCGAGCTGATTATTGTCAGCATCCCCAGATGTGTTGTTAAAAAAATGCTCTCTCTCAAGGGCACCAAGAAACAGCCCGAACAGTTCATCTTTTGAAGTTCCTGCATACAAAAGCATTTTCAATCAATGACCAATAGAAACTAGAAGTATGAAACATAAATTGAGACACACCAACTCATTCATGGCAAAATCTAATTGACATAACTACCAGAATTTTATCAAGACATTAGTGCCAAACTTCACATGCTCTTGACAAACTGATGAAGACTTTGAGCATGTGAAAGGCTTCAATCAAAAATCTCAAATGCTTTGCATGTGACTTAAAAAACAACAATCCATAGGATGTGGCAAGAAAAATGGCATCATACACAATGGAAAAGAGCTTCATAACTTTGACATACAATCAACTGACAACACTGGGAACAAAACTTGCAATTTGTTTTTCCAAACTCATCCACTGCAGAATTTAATTAGGGAAGAGTGTGCATAGTCGAAGAATATACCTGGTACTTGTGTACCATTGCTGCCATCTGCACTCTACACGAACGGACAAAAAATAAACAAAAAAGCTTCAGACCAACATATGGAAATCAAATAACTTAAAAACTAGAAACTTCCTAGTTCATTCCATGATAAAAACAAGGACCATTTACCGGAATAAGGAAACAGCAATTCAATAATCAAAGAAAGACTGAACATTCTAAAAATGCCAAAAACTTCATCACAGCACTAAGTACTAGCATGATTCATGTTCCATCTGACATCATACTTGTCATTAATGCACGATATATTACTAGCCAAATAAGCATTTCAGTTGCCAGGACTTCCATAATGTTTCATCTTGTTATTCTTCAAAAGTAAGAGATGGATCACATCCATCCAACTTATACAATGATACTTAGACTTTGTCCTTCCAAAAAAAAAATTATCTATTCATATATGAGAAAACATAAGACTTGCAACAGAAAACTTCATTGGAAGGTTCAAAGAATTTGAACTCTGACACAATTCTAATTTCAAATTTTAACTTTAAATAATAATGGTATTTTTAAGATGCTATCTTAGCTCTGTTCATAACTGGTAAAAACCACTTCCTTTTTAGTGCTAAGTGTGGGTGTTTCTCCAGTCCAGCCTACAGGTCATGCATATTTAGTATCATTTTCTTCGCTCACATTAAAGCCTCACTTTGTAATAAACTTCAATCATGCGATCAAGAGGTGTGGGGAAAAAAAATTCCTCTCTTTCTGTGGTGGCTACAAAAAGGCAGGGACATACCAACTAAAAAGTTCAAATGCCTTAATTTCAAGGGAAAGTGCATAAGGAGCAATCACTAGGCTCTGTAAATGGTGAGGACCTGCTCCGTAAGCCTCCGAGAAAAGGCCATATATGGGACTCAACAAACAAAAATAGATCCTGGTTCAACATGTTTTGAGATGTCATCGTAAGAGAAGGCGCCATCCAGAGATACAAAGACAACCCAGTATTTGTCAGTGAAGGGAAGTCAGGCACAACAATTATACTCCTTTAAAGGATAATATGACCATCACTAGAAGTTACAATCAAAAGTTGACAAACACGGGAATTCATAAATCATACCCAAAGAACCTCAAGTGCTTTATTGGTAATGAGGTGTGCAAGGCATCGACCACTTTTGTCTCAACAATTTTTTTTGTTTTTGATGAAGTTAACTGTGACCTAAGGATAACAGTTACCAACTACAACCCTCCACTCTACCAACTCAGCTGAGGTCGGTTTTTTGTCTCAACAAAATTATACACAGAACTTGAGTGGTTTGTTGTATCAGATTACAAGGGTACATCTTTGGTCTTCCATTCAGAACATGAAGCCATAAAATCACAACATTATCCAGATTCTCTTTTTGTGTACTGTCCCTAGTGCAATAGAAGAACCAGCTAACCTCATGCAATGTAGTTCTGCCAAAAGATTATCCATAATGTTCATTTATAAAGCACACCATCAAAATCAGTATTAATAACCATGGTACACGTAAGCACCACTGCTTATGGAAGAAGTATGAAAAGTAAATAAAATTGAAAGATACAGAAGTAAAATTTGGAATGAAAGCCTTGGGGGAGAAGACCATTATTTATCAAAAGCAAATGGGATGGAAGTCTTTTCAGCTGTTTAAAATCATCCAGAATTACAGTTTAGGGAACCAAAATTCATTCAACTGATAATTCAGAGTATAATGACCATTATCTAAGATCATATACAAATTCATGAAAATTACAATTACTAACAAAGAAGATGATATACCAGGGATGCTGATGCCTCAGTGTCATTGAATATGGAAATAGGCTGAACTGTAGTTGCAGTAGTTGCACCTTCTGGTGTTGACGTATGGTCAAAATTCGCATTTGGGGTACGTTCGCTTGCTTCCAGCGAATTAAAAATGTTGATGAGTGAATTTGGTTGTGGCACATCATTAACTGAAGATGAATTAAGCTTAAAAAACTCCCCCAAGCACTCTCTAACAACTTCAAGTGCTTCAGAATCAGTGCCTGGAGCAGGTTCGACTGTCCAAGGCAAAAACGATGTTAAACCAACAGAGATTGAAGGACATGCAATGCTCTGAAAACCGATGTAACAATGATATCAATTTGGAAAAAGTTCATATGAGGTGCCAACCTTATACTGCATCCATTTTCAAAACATTTGAGAATTTTTCATTGTTTTAAAATGCGGCTGCATCATGCGGTATGCATCAGGAGGTGCATCACAAAACAGCGCATATGTGCTTTGGTGGGATGCACCCACATATGCGCCGCATCCCAACGTATATGCGGCCGTATAGCGCATCGCATCGCATATGCGCCTCATCAGCGTGACGAAAAGAAAAAACCCTCAAAAAGGGGTATTTAAGTAATTTTATCCCCAAAAGGGGGGCGGGGGGTTATTAAACCCCCCAAAACAGCAAAAAACAGCCACTTTCAAGGCTTTTTTTTTTGTCAAATTGAATCAAAAAAATTGCGGAAATTGTTGAGCTAGCTGCAGGGACTAATAAATAACTACGGCTTAACACTAGAACAGAAACTGCTGGCACCAGGGAGAGGGAAGGCTAGAAATAGACTCAAACAGGAAGCCCTATGGATAGAGTAGAGAGAGAGGCTATGGATGAAGATAAGAGGGAGCAGGGGGAAATCAAAAATAGTGCTAGTAAGAAAAGTATTGAGAGTGTATTAAAAGGAAACCTTTCTAGGATTACATATATTTTGCAGCACTTATTTCATGATATATTTTTTCTTTTTCCCTTTTTTGCTTCTTTTTTCCCTTTTTCCCCTTCTTTTTTCCCTTTTTCTTTTTACTTATTCCCATTTTTCTGATTTTCACATGCCCAAATGTAAAGTACTGTTGCATTGACACTTCAATTCTTTCGTTTTGTCATGTGCCAAGAAGTATTGGTACTGGGTGACACTCCATCCCTACGTGTTGGACTGTATTATTTGCCTTCAGTACGTGTCGACACCTCTCCAAGAAGGGTTGCGTTTACTAATACATTGTCCCTTTAATTATATTATTATAAAACTTAAGGGGAGAACCATTGTTTGCGTCATTGGGGTTTGAATACAAGATTTATGACCAAACATTTTTCTATGTCCAAAATAGGAGATATCGAAAAGGAATGTTCAATAAGCCATCCTACCACATTGCGCATGGAAAATCATGTTAACATGTTAAACAAATGACTAATTTTATGTATGACCATGATATAGTATACATTTCATAAAACAAATAAGAAACATCCAAACAGCACATTCATTAGAACTTTAAGATTTGAACCCACGACCTCTAGACTCTTTGCGCGTGGCAGTTCTAACACCTATGCCACACAATACTTATGTCTAAAATTTCAAAATTAAATACAAAGTACTATAAAAAAATAATTTATAATTAAGAATCGTACGAGACACACTACACATACTGGGATATTTTGCCCACGTACTAGATACCTGCATATATTGGACACCTAGACCCATGTCGATGTCCATGCAACACCAATATAAGGTGATATAGGTCCATAGGGGTCAAGGGCACCCCAGCCTACAAGCTCCTGGCTACAATCATGGGGATAGGAATAGAACCATATAAGTAGAGAGAGTCGAGAGAAGGTTCTCAAGGAGGGGAATCAACTCTAAAAAAGAGGAAGGATCAAGGAGGGAGTTTGTGGACATTGATCAAAAAGTTGGCCACCTAGTCGCCTAAGCAGCGGCCGCCAGGCTATCAAAACACTTAGGCATGCCCTAGGTAAGCATCCTTGGCATGCTTGCTCATCAGCGCCCGCCAAGGCAGCCAGGGACCCCCTTGGCTGCCTAGGTAGTCACCACAAGGCGGGCGCCTACACTGCATCTTAGTACAACTTGGTCGAGGGCAGATCGACCAAGAGCAAAAAAGTACTCCCCTCCCCCCCACCCTCTTGAGAAGGGGAGAAAAGGGTTTTAAAGGGGGCAATCTAGTCCCCCCAAACCCATATGCACCTAGTGCCACCCCCCCCCCTCTCTCTCAAAAAAAACAAAAAGTAGTGTAAGCCTCCTTAAAAAAAATAGTTAAGGTCTATACGAATGGCTAAGGACTCAAAGCCCTTTTCTCTCGCTCACAGGCTGATGTGCTCTCTCTAGTATAAGAAGAAGAGGAAAAAAAAAAGATGCCTTCTACTTGTTCAATGCGAGGCCTCTTTCTCACACACGCACACATATAGATGAACACACACATGGACCCATATGCTCTCGTTCTACATATAAGAAGAAGACAAAAGAAAAGATGACCAAGTGTTCAATGTGAGGCCTCTCTCTCTCTCTCTCTCTCTCTCTCTCTCTCTCTCAAGTTCATATTTTGTCTCACTCTACTTATAAAAAGAAGACAAAGAAAAAAGTCCTCCTCGCTCTCATATACACTAGCACTTTCAATATCTTAGGTCGATAATCCAAAAAAATGGAGAGATTGAGGAAGATGTCGCACATAGAATTAGAGTTGGGTGGGTGAAGTAGAGATGTGCACCGGAGTTTTATGTAATTGACGCATATCAATGAAGCTGAAGGGAAAGTTTTATAGAACATCTGTGAGACCAGCTTTACTTTATGGGGCGGAATGTTGGGGGGTCAAGAAACATTCCCATAAGATGAGTGTAGTTAAGATGAGGATGTTAAATGATGAGTGGCATGACAAGAAGGGTAGAATTCGCAATGAGTATATTCGGGAGAACTTAGGTATGGCTCCAACAAGCGACAAGATAAGAGAAAGTAAACTCAGGTGGGCTGGGCATATGTAGCGCAGACTCAATACATCACCTATTAGGAAGTGCAAGTTAGTTCAAGTGGAAGACTATAAAAGGTCAAAGGATAGACCCAAAAGGACATGGTTGGATGTAGTAAGAAAAGATGTGGGGACTTATGGCCTCACTGAGAGTATAGTCATTGTTTGAGCAGAGTAGCGGACCAAGATTCGTGTAACCGACCCTAAAAAGTTGGGAAAAGGCTCTACTCCGTGCCCACACCTGTTATGGTGCAGGCTAAAAAGCCTGGGCCATCCATATAATCCGAGGAGCAAAGGGTATTGAATATCATGGGAGGGGAACTGGTAACCAGCCGTCTCCTTTCCCCTCTCACCTATCCCATATCCTAAAAATACGAAACGACTTTACTTTTCTACCTCCCTCTCTCTCTCTC